CACACCAGTTATGATGTTCATGTCCGACAAGGCCGATCAATCCTGAAACGTAGATGTTTAATATGAACATGGCTGCGTTCCACATATCACGACATTTTACCTGTTCAAGCTTTCTGCAGTTAAACGGGAGTTTGTTATCTACCGGTTTTGTCGATATGATTTGTGGACTACAGATAAATGAACATGTCCTGGAAAAGATCCGTTTTGACAAAGTGAAACTTTGCCACATTAAAATTCCTTTTAACTGTAAAAAGAGTAACTCCGTTGTACCAATAGCATGACAACAAAATAACATACAAAAGAACGGAAATCACCATCAATAATAAATATTCAATGCTCATCAAAGTAGTACAGCAGTAGTAAGTCCATTAAAAAAAAAGAATTAAAAACTCATACGTCAAAGAAAAAATGGCAATGTCATGACAAACATGACTAGTAAAAAACAGCAAGTAAAAAAAAATACTGCATAGAAAACTAGACTGTGCAACACGAACCCCATCAACAACTGGGGAATAGAAGGCAGATCTTGCTCCACTGGTGCCCATGGGAAGTATAAATTCGTTAATAAGTATCAATCGGTGATGTCACAAAGGAGGGAACGAGGACGGGATTGTTGATACGACATTTGGAACATAACCGTGGTCCTCTGTTACCCAGATAATAATTACATGTCGAAAAATAATAAAATTTCTTACTCAAAAATAAAATATCCATGATTGACATTTTAAGAAAAAACTATTCATTTGTCTTTTCCAAATATTATTATTCATGTCCAAATTCAAAAAGGACATTTTGTCGCGGAACCCTAAGTTTTACAAAAAACAGTTTGACAATATCTGTTGCTTAAGCTCACCTGGAATCAAACAACGTATGGTGATAATAGTCAGAGTTTTCCCATAGAATTTCATTGTTGCTTTTTCCCCCTATTTCAAAGGCACACTTAATAATTCCAATCAGTGTTTATCATTTTATCAATGCTCAAAATAAACACTCACTATTTTGAATGAAAGTTCCGCGTATTTTGGTGACATAGAGTTTAAAATTCGGTCCTAATGCAGTATCTTATTGATGTCAAGTAAAATTCGGATATGCTTTAAAACAACATATATCTCGACTCATTTAAATGAGTTGTAAATGCTAACATATGCTCAAAGTTTTAAAGAAATCGGTAAAATCTCCTATTTCTTGTCTTTTTCAGAATAATTTATATTTTTTTTGGGTCAAATTGAAAGATAGACAACATTTACAGATGTTGTTAAATAACTACCATGTTATCATGGTTCAGTATTATTTACACAGATTATCAATAAACGTCGTAAGTTCTATAATAATAATCATAAAAAAACAAACAAACTCAAATTGTTTATCATTGCATATATGATAAAAATTAAAGACGAGTAAACTTTACACATAAATTAATGTAGAAACCGATTCAATCGTTTCTTATTTTGAATCCTCCCCGCAAAACCGTCCATGCGTTTTCTTTTCCAAACGAAAAAAAGAGGACGTATTTTTTTTATGTCATTACGACAGTAAATTCGACGACAAAAAGTAATGAGAGATTGCTATAAGGCAGTATAAGTCTTTGACAATAGACAAATTTTCTAAACAATATAACAATAAATATAAATATTTATAAATTATAAATATAACAAGTTTTAAATCATCCCCCCATCAAAGTAAAAAATGAAAATATTAAAAGAAAAAATCTTCAAAATGTATCATTAACACCAAATTATCGAAATACACAAAAAATAAGTTACGACACAACACTTTTTTTATTTTTTTCCCTAAGCACTTTTTATTTTAGTTTTACCCCGTATTCAGTTATGTTCCTACTTATATGTAAATGTCCTCACATCTTGTTCCTTTTCAGCTCTTCCTTGCCTGATTTGTTGCCCTAAACAATTTAGTTCTTAATCTAATTTAGGTATTTATTCCCAAAACTATATACCTTAGGTCTTTACCGACTTTTTAAATGCTATTTTCATTATTCAGGTCGTTTACAATGTAAGTTTTCTCTTATCTTCAAATTTAAAAAATAAATGCATTTTCAAAGTTTCCAGCATAATTTAGCAAGTTACTTTACAAATTTTGACTTTTCCAAACAGTGTTCATTTCGTTTTGTTGATTTTTTTTTATCGTGAATATGAAAATATATTACACTGTTGTTTTTCTCCTCTGTTGAGGCATATGATAGAAAAATTTCATATCAGATGTATTGCATTGGCGTCCGTCGTCTGTAAACTTTTCACTTTTTGAACTTCTACTTGAAAACCGCTTAAAAGGATCAATATATTAAACTGTTATTTTTCTCCATTGTTGAAGCATATGATAAAAAGATCATAATATGTCATTTTTCATATCAGATGTATTATCAGCCATCGATAAATATCAGCCCTCGAGCCTTCGGCTCTTGGTCTGATAATACACCTGAAATAAAAAATGCCATGTATAATAATCTGATATTATCAAACTTCACGTTAAACTGTAAGATTTTGATTGGTTAACACGAGGGAGACAATCTTCGTCACATGTTTGTTTCTTTCAAATCTAAATTTAAAAGTCAATAATAACAGAACATTCAGTTTAACAAATTCAATAAACAAATCTGACATGGTATTAGAGCAACTTGTTACCCTCGTAAAAAAACCTTGTCAAACTTTGCTTCGCCTTGTTTGACAACGTTTTCTCGTAGTAACGATCTGCTCTTATCTGTTTGTTATTTAAATTAAAATATAATTTTGCATGAAACAATATAAATTATAGCCATTAAACAAAGAGTTTTTTTTTGGATTTTCATCCATTCTAAATAAGTTCTAAGTATGGACTTGGATTTGTATACTTCATGATAAGGAGGGTCCGGATGGGGTTTACAGAAAAGAGAATAATGAACAAAAGGTGCAGAATAAAGGCTAAAAATATAAAGAATAGAGAAAAATAAAGAATAGAGAATAATAGGGGGAGACAGAAAACTGGCCTTAAAAATTAAAGAATACAAAAATGGAGGTCCCCACATCCAGACCCTCATGATGATATTTCATTGAAAATTATTTCAAAACTGCCTATTTTCATGTAACTGTTGTGACTTCATACCGCAATAAACAGGAGGTGAAATTTACCAATTGTATGTCTCTGTGAAGCCCAAGATACAGTAAGATGCCTTACACTTACTGAAGTTATATATGACAAATATAAACATTGGTATGTTGTCATCTCATATGTGGTCATTGGGATGACAGGGAGATACACACAGTGGTGACGACACAACACTTTATTAAAGTTTTTGTTTTTAGGAATTATTTCATATTTGGTCTGGTACTCTATTATGGCGTGTCCTCTATGATGTTGAGTTGAACCATGCGAGTAATTTTTAGATCTGCTAGACAGTCATTTTCTATTAAATGATACATAGAATCTTTATCATTATTCACTGAGCATGGATTTGTTTGTCAATGTTTAATAAACATTGCATGACATTGCCCACAACCATCACAACATTTTAAAAGCAGATACAATATCTTTATACAGTGGGAAATATAGTGTCAAAATGTTACAACTACTGTAAACATTGGAAACTTGAGCTTTTCAATGGTTTTCATGTTTTAGCAAGGACGCTATTAATTATAAATTCAAAAGAAAACGTTCTGGTAAATAGAAATAATAAAAATAAGTTGAAAAACAAAAAATGAAATGTCCATATTTTCCATATTATAATGTCATTTTCTTTCATAAAACAGCAAAAGACGAGTACAGCAGACTATATGAGCTTTGTGAAATATCGGTTTAAAATGTTGCTATGCGAATAAATTCGTGATGTACCAACTTAAATTTGTTTTTTTTCTTCCATGATGGTTGAAAGACGGGACATCGGATACACAAATGATGATTATAGCCAAATCTGGTTTGAATTGAACCAGTTGTTTAAGAGGAGATTTTTTTTTTAAGTTAACGGACGACGACGGACAACCACGACAGACGAAGGACGTCTCGTGATGGGGGAAATCTCAAACTTGCCCAATGGGCCAGTTGATCTAAAATAAGGAAATGGTGCATGATTGGCAAATGAGAAAACAAAAAAATATCCACCAGAGACCAAAGGAAAAGGATGTGGACAACTATAGCTAGGGCAGTATATACTACCTAAACAGATGGAAGACACGTGTATAAGAAAGGAGAAGAAGATTTTTGGTTTTGGGGTCAATAGGTAAATAGTCAAGGATACTAGAATTAAAAAAAAAGGTTTCTGAAAGGTAATAAGCTAAGGTAACTTGAGTTCCGGTCAGATTGAAGATATAAGGAAAGGGGGGTAGGGCGGTGGGGTAGGGTCAAAAGTAAGATATAATCTGTCTAATTCTGGAACTGAAACATTTTTTTTTACCTGATGGGTCTTAGAGAAGGAATAGAGAAAAATAGTCAATAGTAATGAATGATTCACGTTTTCCGCCGAAGAGTTGACAATCCGGCCATGATGGTCTGATGGGTTTACCGAATAGAGAATAATGGACCAAATTTACAGAAAAATGTGACAAATGGAATAGATAATAATTGGTATAAAACCTCCCTTTGTCACGTTCTGATCAAAAGAAACTAAAATTATTTAAATTCTACAACTTTAACTGTGTTAGAACTGTAATTATGTATATAGCACACAATTATAAATACTTGTTTTAAAATTCACAGTTCTCATTTGTTGAATAACACATACTTAAAACTGTCAAATTTTAGCACCCCTTCACACCTTCACACTATGTAAATATCCTTATAAATATGTGTTACGTGTTTAACCTCTATCCCAAGTGGGAGTGCTCCGATATTTAACGGAGGATCATACCTGTAAAGAACAGAATGGGCAAAATATAAGCAATAGAGAAAAATGACCTACAAATTAAAGAATATATTAAGGAACAACCCCCCCCCCCTTTTTTTCCCCACGCCCCCCTCTAGACCCTCATCCATCTGATCGCATCCTGTTCATATCCTTTCCGTCATTGGACATACTTACAATAAATACTACACTTCCAGTCTTGTCCACGTGCATTTGTTTTGAAACTTCTATATGAATTCTTGTTGAGATGGGAAAGGTTTCAAACAAGGTAACTATGTATATTTTACTAATTGCTCCTAAACCTTAATAGATTTCAATGAGCGCAGCTGATAACCCAATGGCACAGGGTGGATTATGCCAGGGCATATATGACAAATTATAGATTAGTGCTGGAATTTTATATTTCACCCCTTTCATTTGCAACCAGGTGCAAATGGATACAAATGGTACATGGCGAATATACGCATTCCTCTCAACTGTAATTAGTTACAAATGGGTACAAGTTAAGAGATAACTGTATTGTATTTGAAGCTTTGTGGACGTCCATCGGTAGTTTTACTGTCGCAAATCTAGTTTACCTGGCGACGCGTAAATATGATATTTCTGGTCTTTTTTCAGGGAACTTATACATTTCTGTTCAGATAGAAAGTTGAATATATAGTGCAAACAATGACAAATACAATATCAGTACCCTGTACCCAGGCACTTGTGATCTTTACCATGTTTACCATTTGAAAAAATAATATATTTTAATCACTCCATGGATACATGGAATAGAGAATTTTATACGCCCGCCCAACAAAATTTTGATGGGACGTTTTATGGTATACAAATGTCCGGTGTCATAGGCGGATCCAGGGGGGCTGTGGGGGGCCCAGGCCCCCCCCCCCCTTTTCGTGGGATAAATTTGGTTGATTACATAGGGAATCACTGAAGCGTGACTGGAGAGGGCCCCCCTTAGGTCAGTCAGTGGGCCCCCCCTTACTAAAAGTTCTGGATCCGCCACTGGGTGTCGTCTGTCTATCCGTCAGTCCGGCAAATCAGTTTTCCACACTTTTTTTCTTCGTTCTTGAAGATATTGATTTGATATTTGGTATATAGTTTTATCATGACAAGTTATAGATCAAGTTCGAATTTTGTTCCAGTCTGATGATTTAGTCCAGAGTTATCGTGGTCCATATCTAATGTTAGAGTACTACATTTTGTATGTAAACCATATTTCTGTACAAAGGAAGATAACTCATTTTTTAAAAGACATTCTTTGGTAAATTGTTTGAAGTGTTTGTTATTTTGTATAAGCTAATTTTCTGAATGCTATATATATTTAAATATATAAAAAAATTTTATGAAGTGAAATCCTTTAATTAGATAACAATCTATTTTTATTAAGGTATATATTTCATTACATTACATTGTGTATAGATAAAAGTTGTTGACATTTTATAGATAAGTTACAAATCTAAATTAGTTTGTGACAAATGAAAGAAAAATATTTGGAACTATTAATTATATTTGATAATAATTTGAAAATAAATATACATTGTATTACATCATGTATAATTTAAGAGAACTATTAATCATATCTAATGTTAGAGTTTTTCCACACTTTTTTTCATCATGCTTGAAGATATTGATTGATAATTGATATATAGTTTTATCATGACAAGTTACAGATCAAGTTCAAATTTTTGTTTCGGTCTGATAATTTTATGCAGAGTTATGGTCCTTGGACTTGAAAAATTCACTATATTATCAGTTTTCCACACTGTTTTTAGTCATGCTTGAAGATATTGACTTGATATTTTCTTTTTGTTTACACCATGACAAGTTATAGAATAAGTTAGCATTTTGTTCCAGTATAATGAATTTTTACCCAGTAGGGGACTATGTATTGCCATACAATACTCTCAGAATGCTTGTTAGAATCTGCCTTACATTTGTCATTGAGAACATTTTCATACAAGGACAAATTTTTGAGGCAAACAATCTGATTTAAAACATCTGCATTTCGCTTTAAAGGACAATTTATTATTAACACTTGCAATATTGACTTCATAGGTCAAAAGAGGTCATGTTCTCACTAATAGTGGGAAACTAAGACTGGACATCTTCGATTACAAATGACAGTCAGCAAATGATCAGTCCAGATTTTTTATGAAATACCGATGTCATATCATACATGTACATGATGTATGCAAGACTTTACATTTAAATGATACAAATTGTAATAATTGATTTTATCATGCATGTCATACCAAAAATTTTTCTTTTTTACAATTATTTGATTTTTTTCATATATTTTCATACCACAAATATATCTTTTTTAAAGAAAAAAAACGGAATATACATGGTATATAATACTTTGATTAAATTCAAAATTTTTCTAATTTTGAGATCACTCAAATTGGTTAAAGGGTATATACATTAGAAATTGAATAAGAAGTGTAAAAATTATTTTTATTTTCTAAAACATTTAATAAGAGCTTTCTTCACATATTTTTATAAAATTGAGAATGGAAATGGGGAATGTGTCAAAGAGACAACAACCCGACCATAGAATATATAATTCATTTCAAAATTCTATCATTAAGTCTTCTATTCTCATGGTAAAGCTTTTTTTCTAGTACATGTATACTCCATACAAAAAATGTCTATTTTGCACAACCTGTGACTTGATAACAATCTCTGTCTAGTGAATGATACTTTTCATAGTATTTTTGAAAATGGCCCATATAATAAAACTTCATTTTGGTTTTTTTATTAATCCCCATCATGCCCATATTCTGTAATGATTATCCTCATCAACATAATCAATCAAAGAATGAAAGATTAAACTGTTTCCAGCATTAATTTTTACTAATGGTGCTAAATTTGAAGAGAGCATGAAGTGTAACTTGGAAACCTTAATGTGTTTCCAATAGAAATATGTTTTTATGTCCCATTAACGTTTTTGTTTCTTTTTTTTTCAACTTTATTTTTTTATATATATGGTTGAAATATATATATGTTGAAAAATAATTTAGGACAGAAAGTCACAGGATAAAAAGTTACAGACAAAAATTCACAATTCAGTTTTATCAAGGATTTGTATAGTGCTATACAAATCCTTGGTTTTATGATTATTTTCTTTGAATAAGAATTTAACAGTTTATTTTAAAAAAAATTGTATTTATCTTGAACTATTATATATAAAGCAACTTTTCTAACAAAATGTATTCTGAACAAAATCAATAACGATCAAATAACTGTTAAGAAAATCTGTCCAAGTGGCTTTGAACTTAAATGGCTTCATGGTGCTAAGAAATATATCCTTTGCAATAATTAAAATTTGATAAATTCTTCATTTATCAAGGCTTATGAACTATTCCCTAAACTGTAAAATGATATATATATAATAAAAAGAAATTATTTGAAGTACTTTCTCTTACATATTCAACAATTACAAACAAATTATTTGTGACTTTCTGTCTTCAGCTTTCAGCTTACCTGTGTTTGAAAAATTGGGTACTGTATGTCTACATTGTATGTTTACCCATTTAGCTGTTTAGTGTGAACTGCTCTGTATTAAAATCACTTTTTAATGAATATCCCCCTCAGGAACCACTAGACAATGAAACCAAAATTTGGCAAAATCATCAGAAGGTGATAGTCTTAAAATTCTAGAAAATATTCAGTTTTCCAACCAGCTTGTTCTCATTCCACCTTAGCTGTCAAAATCATTATATAAGATTAATCCCATTTCGCCTTTATAGTACAAATTTTCAGGTACAAAAGAATTAACTAAGGCGAAATGGGAACTTGTGTACAATTTAACATAATTAAGTATTTTTTGTTTGTATATTGCAATTAGTTGATATTTGTTATTTTAATGTCAAAATCTGCCATGAAATACTTTTTAAATGCAGATGTTTTTTTGGTGTCTTCCCGATTGTCCCACTTTTTGAATAATTCTTTTTATAGTGGCTCATCTTTTTTACTATTTTTTTACCGATGTAATATATTTTGTAAATAAAGTCTTTGTTGTTGTTTATTATTAGAGATGACAAATAGGATACGGAATATTTCATATTTTAATGAATAAAATAAAGACAAATATCATACAATCATAACAAATATTTATTTCTGAATCAGTACTGAATAACAAGCACGATTTTAAACTTAGCATACTAATAAAGAAAATGTACATGTAATAAATAATCGCATGAGAAAAAAACAATAATACATAAAACATAAGAATTATTTCCATAAACATAAATAAATAGTACTAATTGATAGTTCATTAATTCAAGAGAAACAATTCCCTAATTACATGTTGTTTAAATTGTTATAAATCCCATCTCGCCTTAGTTTTTTTTTTACCTGGAATTCACAGCTAAGGCGAAATGGGAACACACCTTCCCACTGACAAGCCATTTTGGCTACCTTTACCAACAAAACAGATAATCATGATCAGATGATAATTATAGATAAAAAAAGCAGTTATAATGAATTGATATACTGGTAATTCATGAGCTCCAGGTGCTGCACTTTTACTAACAATCTAGGTACTGTTTTTAAGTTAGTATAAATAGTATCATACATATGTGTATTCTTTTTTTTCTAAAAAAAAAACAATCAGTATATGAATTTTAGACAAAATATAACCATGACAACTAGGAATAAATACATTGGTAACCCATCCATATGTTTCAAGAAATGTTTTTTGAAAAGTTAAACTTCATATAAATCTTTTAGGCCACTTGAAATCAATTTTTAGTTCTTCAATGGATTTGCTCAAATTGCTTGCTAATAAATAAAAAAAGAAGAAAAGAAGAGAACAGAATAAAAAGAATAATACCTCATGTAATTGCCAATATATCAAATTTTCACAAAATTTGTTTTCATTTCAAAAGGAACGAAAATTTATGCATTTCTCTTGTACATGCACATGTTTTATATCAAATTTGCTATTTTCTTGTTAAAATTAAAATCCTTCATCATTAGCTACTTTCTTCTTTCTGAATTGTTATTGAGCTGTCAAAAAGAAAGTAAAAAATTGATTGAATAACCTTATTTTGTCAATCTGAAATAAAAGATATATTTCATCATTTTTCATTGGTCATGGCTTGTAGACTTAGTATATTATTAGTTTTAATATTTTCATCAAAGTAACATTGAAAATATAAGAATATGTGTGCATGCCAAGTGCTAATTTGATAAAATCAGATAATCAAACTAAGTTACGCAATGTTACGATTAGTTTGGCCTAACTATACACCACATTATGATTGCTTTAAAGAGAATCAGTCATGACTAATAACAATAACAGATTTTTCATTCCTTTTCATTAGATACATGTGTGATATAAGTGTGTCATCTTTATAATCAGTTAGGCCAGACAATTGAAAAGTTTGTTCCAGGATATCTCAGGTCTCAATGAATAGGCTTAACAGAGAAAGATTCTTTAATAATTATCACTATATAGATTTACTCATTTTAAGATAAATATCATTAAGATTACTTGAGTTGTTTGTTCATTAATCTAACATTAATATGGTACAAGGTACATGTACAAGCAGAAAGTTTATTTTGTTTATCTTGTAACTCACCCACTCCTCTTGATCCCCTCACCCAAAAATTAACTGGATGGTTTTTATTTTCTCAATTCATTGTTTGATATTTTCTTTATATTGCTTTTCTTTAATTTTAAGTGTTTATTTTTTGTTTGTTTTAAAAATGAAAAAGCCTTTCAAATTGTTGAATTAACTGTTTGGTGGCGTAGTAGTAGATGGAATAGTGGGGGCAAACCTCTGAAATTATACGCCACACAAGCTTATTTTTTTTGACAGCCCCTCCCTTAATTGCTCCTATGCCAGTACTGTTTATGCAAACAGTGGGGCAATATATTTCATCTGGCATTATTAATGTAGAATTCAAAGAACATTGTTTATTTTGTTTGGCCTATAGTTTTCAGGCTTGCAGAATTATCTATATGATTCATGACTTCACTGATTCTCACTCTTTCTAATCATCATCGTCATGTTTGTCTGGCAGGATAAGAAAAATAGAATAAAGAATAAGAAGCCTAAAACAAAAGACAAACAGGCAAGATTTGTGGATGTACAAGATGCTGAACTACTTTCTAAAGACCAACTTAAAAAAATAAAGTAAGTTTTTTTTCATTGTTATATATAATCTTATTTATTTAGCCTGTTAGTAAAATTCTTGCTTTTAAAAATAACTGTAAATTGTGCAGGTTATTTGTATCTTAAAAAAAGCTTTCAGCTCCTTAAAAAATAATGTGAACCATAAGATAGCATACATGTATTTCAATGCCCTCATTCCATTATGCATTTTTATAATTTTGTTTTAAAAAAAATACAGTCAGGGAATAGCCCTCTTGTTTTTGATTAAATGTTTCAGATTTTATAAGTAAAATTTTATATTAATAGTATTTAATCAGCTCATTTGTGAGAGTCAATGGGAAAAGATACTTTTACAGGTGCAATGTACATGATGTACTGATAAGTTTGATAACACCAATAAAAGATTGAGTTATTCCCCTTTCGTTGAATATTAACTTTCATTGTTAAAAAAATTGCATCTTAACCAAGAGCCCAGCCTCAGTAATAAAAGAAAAAAGTTTCATTGTTTGTGCTAGTACCGGTAATCAAACGTACTTATAATGAAAATCTTCTCACAAAAGCAGCAGTCACAATTTACTTGAATGTGAATGAGAATTTTAAATGTAAAGATAGGATTAAAATGAATTTATATGGCAGAAGTTTTGGGATCACTCCATATTGTTACAAATCATTCGTAGAAAAAACACCTAAACTTTAAGGTTCAAAACTTAAGTCATATAAACAAACTGATATGAAACAAAACATGCAGTGGCATAGCTTACAGCTTATTTCTAGTGAGGCAAATGATTTGATGCTCAAGAGTGGGAGTGGGTTGTTTATGCTTCACTATGCCATAGTCTATGTGTGCTTGTCCTGCAACAGTCATGCAGGAACCTGTATGTTAAGTGGTTTTCATTCGTTGTTGTCTGTCATATTTGTTTTTTGTTTTACTAACATAAATTAGGCCAAAAGTTTTCTATTATGACTTGTTTTACTTTCTGTTATGATTTTTAGGGTGCACTAAGTTTAACCCTTTTCTGTCTGTACGTCCGTATGTCCTGATATTGGTTTCCATTCTCTAACTTTAGTTTGCCTCAACCAAATGTTATGAAAATTATACGCAATGCTTATTACCACAAAACACAGATCAAGTTTGAATTTTAATCACTTTTACGGTTCTAGAGTTATGCCCCTTTACAAATTGAAAAATTGCTGAATTTTTCATTTCTGTTCTCTAACTTTAGTTTGCCTCAATCAAATGTTATGTATTTTATACCCCATGCTTATTACCACAAAACACAGATCAAGCTTGAATTTTGGTGGCGTCACATTTACCGTTCTAGAGTTATGCCCTTTACAAATGGAAAAATTGCTGAATTTTTCGTTTCAATTCTCTTACTTCAGTTTGCCTCGACCAAATGTTATGAACCTTATACACATTGCTTATTACCACAAAACACAGATCAAGTTTGAATTTTATTGGTGTCACTTTTACTGTTCTAGAGTTATGTCCCTTTACAAATGGAAAAATTGCTGAATTTATTGTTGAAGGCTGTAGAGTGACCAATAGTTGCTGACATCCCCTTTATTTGGGCTCTGCTGAATAGTTTTCCCATTTGCAGTCATACCACATCTTCTTATTTGCACATAACTGGCTAAACAGGCATCTCAAACTAGTTTTCAGCAATTAAAATGAAGGTCATGAATTTCTACCACAACAGAGCAAGCATGATAGACAGAGATAGCAATACAGACATGTAAAAGGTTTTTTTAAAGAGTTATTGAAACTGTTTTAATCTGAAGAGACAGCACTCTCCTTCCAAAAGGCACTGGATTTTACATCACAATGATGACCCAAGGTGACTGCATATTCATACATCATTGCACATCCCTAACAGACATGACAGACAAACTGAATCCCCTCTTTCAGTAGGTACTGCTAAATAGTTGGACCTGTATGAAGGGAAAATAATTTGGACGGCTACTGGGAAAAGAGGGTATAACTGATATGGTAGACTGGAAAAAATAATGCAACGGTTCTTTGACCTATCACTCTCCCTGCACAATGTACTGGATTGGGATTAGACATCCTCATTTTCACCTGACATGTATAGAAAATGAAAGGATATGGAGTAAATGTACATGGGACAAAATCCCACACAATACATTGAAAACATAGAAAATCATCAATGAACAGGGCTTTTATTCCTGCTCCTCATCTTGACAGTTGATGTAGGGTCTTCAACAATGAACGAATCATTCATACCCTACAACAAGGTCAAGACGGCCCCTAGCGTCAACTTAAGTGGTACTATTGATAAAAATAATCCAACAGTTCACCTTCTTGCTCCCCACCCGCCTTGGAGTGCCAACTTGTGCGATGCTTGTGTACGACGGTTCTCCAGTTGAAAGCACCAGGGATACAAGAAAAGTGCAGTAATTTTGAAAGACATCGATAGCCGCTAAAATATGCCTTGAAGTTACACATGTCGGTAACGGTCAATGAATCACATAATTTATAATTACGGGCAAGGTTTTTCATCCTATATTTGTCATACATTGCCCAACAAAAGACCAATAACTTCAAAACAACAAATGATAGACAATACATATAAAACTAAACAAAAAATGATAGACAGCACGGGGCACATCGAAATATATGTAAGAAAACCTAGCAGTTTAAAATAGTATGAAAGGGCAACATACAAAACAGATGCATGGGTATAGAATAAGAGTCCAGCATACCAAAATAAACTTGATAGTAAAAACAGCAAATTGCAAATGAAAAATGAAAAATAGCAGTTCTTACTTCTGGTTTTTCTTTACAGATACATAAAACTATTACATTATTGAATTATTAAAACCAAGATATGTGTATCTGTGGTGATATTTTATGAATAAGTTGGACTTATTCTTTTACTCCATCCGAGGAGCGAATGGATCGAGAAATGAATTGTTTGATGGAAGACAGGATCTTTTTGTTATCTCACTTAATCCCTCTCTCATTCTCTTTTCTTTGTAAAAAATTTAGTGAAGCAGTTACCTCATTACATCAATGGAAGCTATGCCAATGAATATAGTATAACAAACATATGTGTAAATGACAAGAAGAAAGCATACAATGTATACTTAAACAATCTTGAATATAGTTTATAATTCAGTTATGACATGTATGAGTCCCTTACCCTTAAAGTCATATCTGAAACTTCAAATTTTAAAATTTTTTAAAAAAAGTTGAATATATATACATTTTTTATATACTTGAATGGCTAAGTTTTACTGAAACAAGTGTATGTGAACTTTCTTTTATATTATCAAAATCTTCATAAATTGCTATTGAATTATTGTCTTCCCGTACACTAATTCGCTGATATTTTCCCGTATGCAGTATCCTTAACTGCGAGACCTCTTATTAGAATTTTGGCCACTGCACAGCGCAAGTGCAAGGGGAAAATCGTGATGAAAGAATGAAAACAAACGTGCACCTGAAGATAAATAGTAATAACTGATTCTTAAAGTTCTAACAAATTGAATACACCAAATCATTTAATAACTGTAAAGGAAAGGTGTTTATCAATGTCACAATTCGGTAAACTACGGCAACAAACTTGAAAGTTAATTAGCTTGTGATCACCAAGCACTGAATGAAATATTATTTGTCGTTAATACGTTATAAGTTTGAATTAAATTTAAAAAATGTGCATACAGGACTTCGTTTAGTATATATATCATGTATATGCATGCATTGGTTCAATATTTTCAATAACTTTATAATTACAAGAAACTCGTTTTATATGACTTACATTAATACTAACAACTGTTTTATGATGGAATTTATGCTTTGTTTTTGTGTTGTTTAATGCTTTGCATAAATTATTGCCTTATATTAATATGATTACAATGATATGTAGTGTTAGATTTCTTTTAGTTTTAAAAGCCTTTTGAAAAATGCCCCAGGAAAAGCATTTAGATTAGAAAGCATACAGAAATACGAGAAATTGTAAACCAACTTTTCTGTATACTTATTACTTTGAAATTAAATTACATCTTTTCCAATAGGAATGACATCTATTTTAGAAATCTCAAGACTACAAGTATATAAAGATAAGGAGATGTGGTATGATTGCCAATGAGACAACTATCCACCAGAGTTAAAATCAAGTGAATGTAAGCAATTATAGGCAACCGTACAGCCTTCAACAATGAGAAAAATCCATACCATATAGTCGGTTATTAAAGGCCTAGCTGACATGAAAAAAGTGAAACAAATCAAAAGAGAAAACTAACGGCCCAATTTATAACAAAACAATTAACATTTATAACCATGACAACCGTTTTATATTGTTTTATATTATTTTAGGCAAAACAGAACATGTGCCACACGAGTATCAGGAAAACGAAAACACAAATTGCTGAAGAGGATCAGACACCAACAGAAAGAAAAGATCAGAATGGACAGTAAGAATAAATTTAACTTAAAAGCTGGAAATGGTGGTGGGGGGTGGAGTGGGGGGGGGGAGAAAATTATAGGAAAAAATACTTGTACATTGCCTGATATTTTAATGTTTTAACTTATTGCTTTTTTGTTTACATATTTTAAAGCAGGGTATTTTCATATCACATTAACATCGAGAATATGCTTGTTATATTTGCTGCTGGACATTACACCGTAATCAGTCATTTAATTCATCAATCAATGAACATCATAGAGCATCTCCAAATATTAACAACCATTCAGCAATTTTTTTTTAGATTAAAATAAAAAGTAAAAAACCATTGTAAATAAACAATAATAGACCTGACAATTTTGAGATTACACTTATAATGTTATGCAATGAGTATTCTTCGCCTAAAACTTTATGCTATGTACATTTGTATATCATATAGAATTACCAGTATTTTTTTTCAAAAATTTAATATTGGGGCATTTCTGATTGGATTTTAATCACTTTTTTACCAATAGAAGCAGACTTGATTGTCACAGGTTTATCTGTTAACTTGGTTTTATTTTTATAGTCAGATTGTAAGGATTTGTTTTTGAAGATATAAATAGAAATATTTATATTATTTTGTCCTCGCGCAACCCGTTGTGGGGGACATAGAAATACCGGGCGTCCATCCAGTCTTGTTAGCGCTCTCACATGTACAATTCTTGCCAGATTTTTATAAAACTTATATCATAGGTTTATATCAGCAGTATCTTAGACAAGTTTGAGAATCAGTGCCGATCAATAATTTCTTAAAGAGTTATGGCCCTTGGAAATATTAATAATATGGAAAATTGCATTGTTAGAGCTCTCATGTGTACAATTCCTGCCAGATTTATATGAAACTTTTATTGTAGCTTTATATTAGCAATGTCTTGGACGAGTTCGAAAATCAGTGCCAATGAACTATTTTTAAAAGAGTTATGCCCCCTGGAAACATTTATTATATATGAACAAGAGTGCACATGCTGAAATGTCTCGCCTCCTATACTGACCATTGATTTTATGTTGATAGTCGTAATATAAAGTTTTACTACAAATATCACACTAACATTAATGATCCAAGAAAATGAGGTCAAGGTCAGATAAACAAAGCTGAAAATACATGTACACCTTTAACACAATGATTCCATACACCGAATATAGATGACTTATTGCTTATAGTATAAAAGAAACAGACCAAACCATTGAAATTTTATTTTGACCAATGAACCATGAAAATGAGGTCAAGGTCAGATGAACCCTGCCAGACAGACATGAACACCTTAAAATCATTCCATGCATCAAATATAGTTGACGTATTGCTTATAGTATCTAAGAAACAAAGTTAACCAGGAAAACTGAACATTGACCAATGAACCATGAAAATGAGGTCAGGTGAAGGTCAGATGAAAACCTGCCAGACATATACACCTTACAATCTTTCCATACACCAAATATAGTTGAAATATTGCTTAACATTTAAGAAAAACAGACCAAAACACAAAAACTTAACATTGAGCAATGAACCGTGAAAATGAGGTCAGGGTCAAATAAAACCTGGCAGACTGACATGTACATCATAAAATATTTCCATACACCAAATATAGTTGACCTAATGCATACGTATACAGAATTAGAAAAACAGACCAAAACACAAAAACTTAACATTGAGCAATGAACCATGAAAATGAGGTCAAGGTAAGATGACACCTGCCAGTTGGATATGTACACCTTACAATCATTACATACACCAAATATAGTAGACTTATTGCTTATAGTATCTGATATATGGACTTGACCACGAAAACTTAACCTTGTTCACTGATCCATGAAATGAGGTCAAGGTCAAGTGAAAACTGTTGACAGGCATGAGGACCTTGCAGGGTACTCACATACCAAATATAGTTATCTTATTACTCATAATAAAAGAGAAATTAACATTACAAAAAATCTTAATTTTTTTTCAAGTAGTCATTGAACCAGGAAAATGAGGTCAAGGACAATGGACATATGACAGACGGAAACTTCATATCATAAGGCATCTATATACAAAGTATGAAGCATCTAGGTCTTCTACCTTCTGAAATATTAAGCTTTTAAGAAGGTAGCTTACACTGCCGTCGCAGCCGCCAGATCACTATCCCTTTGTCGAGCTTTCTGCGACAAAAATTGCATTTTCAGCACTCTCTTGCGTACAATTCTTGCCAGATGTTTATTGTAGGTTTATATTAGCAATGTCTTGGAAAAGTTTGAAAATCAGTGCCTATCGATAATTTTTAAAAGAGTTATGGCCCTTAGAAATATTAATTATATGGAAATTTACATTGTAAGCGCTCTCACATGTACAATTTTAGCCAGATTTTTATCAAATTCATATCAAAGGTTAATATCAGCAAAGGCAATTTTGAAAATGATTGCTGATCAAATATTTTAAAGAGTTATGCTCCTTGGAAATATTAAATATATCAGAAATTGCTCTCAAGACTTCAACTCTCTACGATAATTTAAAAAATTAGTTTAAAAAAAAAAACAAAAAAATTTTTTTTAGTTATTGCCCATCATGCCCATGGACATATAAAATATGTGCAACACAGGGGACATTGGAACTCTGTTCTTTTATTTCTCTAGATATTTGCTATATTTTCAGCCAAATTAAATTGTAAAAAATTATAATATATGTTCACATCAGGAAAAAGCAAAAACAAATGAAGGCAAAATAACCAAACAATTCTGTGTCATATTCTGTTAATACATAGCAAACAAGAATGTGTCCATAGTACACAGATGCCCCACTCGGACTTTCATTTTCTATGTTCAGTGGACCGTGAAATTGGGGTAAAAACTCTAATTTGGCATTAAAATTAGAAAGATCATATTAAGGGAACATGTGTATTAAGTTTCAAGTTGATTGGACTTCAACTTCCTCAAAAACTACCTTGACTAAAAACTTTAACCTGAAGCGGGACAGACAGATGGAAGGAGGAACGGACGGACGAATGAAGGGACGAAAGAACGAACGGACGCACAGACCGAAAAACATAATGCCCCTCTTCTATCGTAGATGGGGCATAAAAATTATAGGTGAGGAATATTTATTCAATAAAACTGTGTTGGTTGCCTTTTAGATACCTTTTTGTTGTTTTAGTTGTTGTGTTGCTGTCTCATTGACCTATACCCCAAATCTCATTTTTTAGCTCACCTGGTCATTGGACCATACATAAAAGCATGGTATAGAACAAAATGAAATATGAAAATTTTTGCCATCATTTATATGCTGAATCTAACCATGTTGTTAGATTTTGGATATCAGACCATACCAGGTAAATTAAATGTCCAATTTCAAATTTTTAAGATCTTTGACCACATTCATTTTGTGTCAGAAACCTATATTATGTCAAAAATTTGATCACAATCCAAATTCAGACAGTATCAAGCTTGAATATTGTGTCCAAACTTGCCCCAACTGTTCAGGGTTTGACCTCTGCCGTGGTATCAGCCTGTGCTCGGCGAAGCATTTTATTTTTTCATTTTTGCCTATAATCTTGGAAACTATTACTTTAAATTGTAAAAATTATCATCAAGACAAGATCTGCAAGTAAGTGGACAACCGAAATCAGTGGACTCTTTATTAAAGATATTGCCCTTTAATGACTATTTTTACCAATTTTTTGCGTTTATGCCTTATATTTTAAAAATGATAATAGATAGATAGAAAGTTAAATTATCAAAAGTGATCAGCAAGACAAGATCTATTAAGGCAATACAGAGGATGTCGTCTGTCCACTCCTTATTGGAGTTATTGTCCTTTAATAACAATTTTTACCAATTTTTTTTGCTTTTTGCCTTATATGATAAAAATTATAATAGATTAATAGAAAATTTAAAAACAAAAAATGATCAGCAAGGCAAGATCTACAAACAAGTCAAATTTTACTGATATAGTGTGTAGACTGTCACTCTATACAGGAGTGATTGCCCTTAAATGAAATTTGTTTTAGTCCCCTACCAACGAAGTTGAGGGAGACTTTAGGTTTGCACTCCGTCAGTCTGTCTGTCCATCTGTCAGTCCGACAAATCAGTTTTTCACACTTTTTTTCTTCGTGCTTGAAGATATTGATTTGATATTTGGTATATGGTTTTATCATGACAAGTTACAGATCAAGTTCGAATTTTGTTCCGGTCTGATGATTTTGTGCAGAGTTATGGTCCTTCATGTCCTTGGACTCTGAAAATTCACTTAAATAATCAGTTTTCCACACTTTTTTGACGTCATGCTTGAAGATATTAACTTGATATTTGTTATATAGTTTACACCATGACAAGTTAAAGAATAATTTTGTTCCAGTACAATAAATTTTTAACTGGTAGGGGACTATGTATTGCCATGCAATTTGCACTCAGAATGCTTGTTTTTACCCTTTTTTGTTTTGAGCAAAAACTGAAGAAGATAGACAGAAACTAAACAGACTAAATGTTCAACAATACAAGATCAACAAAAAAGAGATTTTTGTCAGGAATTCTATTCTCGTCTTCAATGTTGAAGAGTGTCCTTTTTTGAATATGCACATAGACCTAGGTGAGCGACACAGAATCTTTAGAGCCTCTAGTTCTAATTAATCAAGGACTCACTACAAACCAGTAAAAGTCTGAAATGGCCTATATGGTCCAAGGACACAGTTATCGTCCTTTGGTTTTCGTTGTCTACAAATATAGTCCCTAGTGTGAACAGTGTATAACTTGCATTTTTTTTTGATACACTTTCCCAATTTATTTCTTGATATTTTATGCATGAACTATTAAGTAAGGGGATGAAATTACATGTTAAAAAAATTTGGGTGCTGAATCTTAAGTAGTGATTTGGTCCAGTTAAAAAAGGTCAAAAATTAGAATGTCTGAAGCTGTCAAACTGAATTTTAGCCCCCCTTAACACAGAATTGTCAATATTTTGAGTTAGAGCTGGTAGAAGTTTCTATAATTTTGATATTATTT